TCTCTCTCTCTCTCTCTCTCTCTCTCTCTATCTCTCTCTCCTTCCCTCCCCCCTCTCCCCCAGGTCTTAGACACACATTTTCTGACCTCTTTTCTCTTTTCACTCTACTTTTACTGTAGCCTGCATTTCCACCCCAAGCCCACCATTGAAACTATTTTTATGAGACAACCAGGGACAAGGTGGTCACTAAATCCTATGGACACCTTTCTAATGTTGCTTAAACCTTCTGATACAATTTGGGTCCTTCCTTCATTCTTGCCAAAGTCACCTCTCTGATTTTCTCTTAATTCCTGGCTTTTTATTCTTTGACCCTTCCTCTGCCATTCTTCAAATCTGGTGTTCTCTGGGATGTAGTCCTCTGTCCACATTTCTTCCCACTCTACAATCTCTTCTTTGGGCATTTACCTACTCACTTGCCATACATAAACCGATGCTTTCGTCAATCTATATCTTCAGGACTTACAAAAATACACAACTATTCTAATTATGTGACAAACATGAGGTGAGCTGCAATCTATGGCAGCCTTGTCAGACCTGTCAAAGTCATCAAAACTTAGTGTGGGAATCTGTAATAATCTAGTGACCAGACGGCTAAGGAACTCGAAGCCAGGCTAGATGGGTCCCAGTGTCCTTGACGGGACCCTGAAGCAGGCTAATTCCGTGAGGCAAACATGGAGGAACTTGGAGGAAAGTAGTGGTTCATCAGTAATACCCTATTAGAGACATCATCCTCAAGGATGATATTAAAAAATATAGAAGAAGCTGGGCAGTGGGTCAGGAAACTTCTTCACCATTTGGGCAACTTTACTGCAAATCTCACATTATTGTAAGATGAAAGATTTCTTCAAACAAATCTTTTATTTATTTATTTATTGGTGGAAGTGGGGATTGAACTCAGGCCCTTGTGCTTGCCAGGGGAGCGCTTATTCTACTGAGCCGGCTCCCCTGGCCGAACTGTGCTTCTTCCCTCGCACTTTTGCCCACAGCGTCCACCTTAGGGCCTGCGATACGATACGGGAGACCCCATCATCAGGGATGCCTGAACGACCAGGTGGCTGCCTGTTTCAGGGAAAGTTCTTCTAACTACCTGCGCTTAGCCAGCGCTTCTCGGGTGCATGTCTGTTCTTTCATGTTCTATCGTGTGTTCGTGTGCACTTCTCCACTGTTGTCTAAATGCTTATACACAAATGCGTGCGCTTTCTCGTGACTGAAAGGCTCTTCAAGACAGTGAGTCTCTTTAATATTTTTCCTACGCCAACAATTAAGTGGGGCTTGCACAGGGTGAGAGTACAAATTGAATTGGATTACACTGAATTGAGTTTACTCGGCCACGACTCATCTAAAATCACTTACTTACTAAACCTACCTAACACATGCGAAATTATTAAATATGAAATTGATATGAGACTCACACACTCATCCATTTAATCGCACGTCCAAGTACGCTTGGCGGGAGCTCACATTTCGGCTCCTCGTGGCATATTGCCGGCCTGGGATGGGAGGAAGTGTTTAGCATGCTGCCGTAACATCGGGCCATTGTTCAGCGTTACGGTCTTAGAAGCCATTTGATTTCCCTGCGGAAAATTTCCCAATTCAGCAGCAGTTTGTTCAGAAAAAGTACGGGGCCTGTGGAAATCTGGGGCTGCTGGGTGCTGCTTAGATCTCAGAGTTTAGAGAATTGGAAAGCTACCCGCAGTTCCTCTCACTGTCTTAGCCTGAGGCGACGGTTCTTTAAAATACAAAGCACACAAGATTCACTTTAAGGACTTCCCCCTGCTAGCACCCTTTGTCATTTTTTTTTTTTTTTTTTACCCTTTGTCATTTAAAGCCTAACTTCAGATAATCAAGCCGCCTGCTCCGCAGCAGGGTTCTTGTTTATTCATTTCCTGGCCACGAGATGGCGCGCTTTATACTGTTTTCTTTCTTCTTTCCCAGCAAAAAAGACCTTACAACTATGAATTTTAAAAAAAGGCTGATAAATACAACACGAATTTTACATTCTGATTCTAAATTTTTTTGGATGTACATAAAAAAGGAAGGTTTCCTCTTTTGTGTAGGAATACTGATTTAGACTATTCCTATGTAAATATTAAGGTCCTACGAGATCAAAGAGAATACACGCGTTCTCGTTTGTCTGTTTCTCTCTACAGAACCAAGGACAGTGCTTTTGAAACTTAGAATTGACAAAAACTCGAGCAGAGCAACGGCGGTGTGCAGTTTCAGGCGCATTCTCGCTCCCGTACTCTAGTTTTTGTCCTTGGGGTACGGGCTTGGGGAGGGCTTGCTGCCCGATCCCGAGGTGCCAAGAAGCAGCAAACGACACTGCGTCTATGGCATGTGTCGAAATGGAAACTAAAAGGACAAGAGTTATACTTCAGAGCGTCCAAGTCATTGTGCTTCATCTCCGCTGAAACTACTTTCTTTTCCTTTCAATTATCTTTTCCTTTTTTGAGACAGAGACCCGCTGTGTAGCGCAGGTGGCCTAGGCCTCACTGTGCAGCCCAGGCTGGCCTCAACCTTGCCGCGCTCCTCCTGCCTCAGCCTTCGGTGCTGGGGTTGCAGGGGCGCTCCACCACCCCCAGATGGGTACTAATTGCCTAACCTCTATCTGCTTCGAGGAGACTCGTGATTTTGCCGGCTTACCCTGGTCAGAAGCTCATTCATTTCTGTCACCAGCGTGTTCAGGTTGCCTTCTGCCAGGTGGATGAGCCTTTCCGGGGCCCGCTGGGGTGAGAGCAGGTGCTGAAAGAGGGATCATGCCATAAGCGTTCTGCTGTGAGAGGTCACAGTAACCACAGGGCTGAGCAGAACACACTTTTTCCTATATACGCCAAACCCTTAGAATTTTCACTTTGAGATGGAGAAATCATTTTAAGTGAACACTTATACACTGAGCGCTATTCCAAATACTCAAGCAAATAGTAAAAAATTACAGCAATTTATTGAGAAATTACTATGTGCTAGGCTTCTTTCTTTTCTTTTTCTTATCTTTTTTCACCCCTTATTTCCTCCAAGAGCCCTGTGAGGTAAATGTATACCATTGTGTGGGTGAGCAAAACATGGTTACATTAGAGGTAAAAACACACATAAGACCTGGCTGTGGGGAACGGGCAGGGTGAGGGCTCTGAGGCCAGTCAGCAGCAGCAGGGTTCTGAGGAAGGTGGAGCAGCAACAGCCCACGGGGCCAGCCAGGCGGGGCTGGCCTGGCGTCCTCAGGGCCGGCAGGAGCTGGGCTGGGGCTACCAGTCCAGCCTGTTCTCCTGTTGTCAGAAGCCATCTCGAGCTGCACTAGCGTTAGGATTATTCTGTGACAGTGATGGATGGAATACCTCTGGACCCACTCCGTAATCTGGCCCAGTCCCAGACACTGCCCTAACTCAAGCAGATCACCAACCTACCTGGCTCACAGCAGTGACCATAGACTCTCGCCTAGGCCCAGCTCTAGCCTCCCTCTGTCCATCGCTCCTTCTAGGTAAGATTCATTAGAGTATTCAACTGCTGAATTACTCCTGCTTCTGAACAGTACTGCTGGAGGACAAAACTGGTTTTTTGGAACCTGTCTCCCCTGACTAGCGGGAGCCCCCACACTGTATGCCTCTTCTCGGATCTTCTTCCCCAGCTACCCCTCCGTTCCTCGTGGTGTTTATTTTCTGAGGCTCCAATAAGTTTAGCCCAGCTGCGGCCTGCTCTGGCTGAGGTCTTGGTCGTCTTTGGCTACAATCTGCGGACTGTGGACATAGTAACAGGCAACAAAAGAGGAAGATAAGTGATTCGCTTAAGTTTTGAAACTTAGCAAAAGGATCTTAAACATTGACATGATGGGTGAATTACGGAAGAAGGAAGTAGACCTAGAGTTGAGGGAGACAGGAATGGAAGGAAAATCAAGGTCATTTTGCTCAAGCCCAGATGCAGGGCGTGGGGCCCTGAACCCTCCTTGGCTTACATGCCCATAACTCGGGATGTCTTTCACAGAGGCCTTAGTCCTGTGTCACCCATTGCTTATGCATTATTTAGAAAATTACATTCAAATGAAGTGTGTGCATTTCTTATTTATTTTCCTCATAAGGCCTTTGAGTATGTGGTCAGCACCTGTTTTGGGAAAACCCTTATCACTGTGAAGAGTGTGCTCCCAGGTAACTCAGACTCCACTGGCTATCACACCTCTCCTCCACGCATACGGCCCCAGCTCCCCCGAAAGGTCTGACCTCAGGCATCTGCTAGAGGCCTCACTCATGCTCCTGCCTCTAGCCATGACTCGGGGGCAAGAGACTGCACAGACCGTGGGTCAGGGGGCCTCTGGGTCTGGCTGGGTCCTCCTAGCTAAGGTAGTTCAGTGTTTCCTAGTGTTGTGAAGACAGTTGCATTACTCGAATGCTGTCTCTGCTCTCAGTGACCAAGTTAGCTTGTGCCTTTTACAAAACTCTGTGCCTGGGTGTTGCTCGCTGAAAACCCCAGGCAACGCAGCACTTCTGTCTCAGCTTACCCTGCTCTGAGGAAAACACTAGAGCCCGGGTGCTCGGAAGGGTACACAGAGTGCGGCTGGCAGCTAAGGTCAAGGTGCTCACTGCTTTAGATCCTGCTGAGGCTCTGCAGAAGGCTGCCTTCTTCCTGTCCTCAACTTGGTGACAGAGCGAGAGAGCTTCTCTTTCCATTTGCAAAAGGCCACCAGTGCCATCCTGAGGGCCTCACCTCCAGGTCTTAGTCTATCACTGAACACTTTCCCCAAACCGTCACCTTGTGCCTGAGTCCTTCCCAAATTGGTTCTCTGAGACGCAAGCCACTTAGGTGACCATGTGAATGAGTGACCGGGTCCCGAGGATGGTGGGACTTTGATCCTTTCTGAAAGGTACCCGGAGAGCTGGCTGTGTGCTTTCCCGGGCTACGCAGCAAGAAGGCACCCCCATGAGGAGCTACCAGACACGGTCCCTGCCTGGAACTCCCTTGACTGCAGAGCTGCAAGAAGTGCGCCTGTGTCTCATAAGGTAGCCCATCCACGGCTTTACCTTTTAGCAGCCAAAAGACCATAGATGCTTTAGCATTTGAGCCTTGCTGGGTGCAAATGGTCAGCCCAGGACAACTCTTGTCCTACCTCTTGGTGTTTCTGAGTGTGTTGTGCGTGTGAGCCGTGTAGGACGGAGTCAATTGCTTAGCTTTGCAATCAGTGTCATTAGCCATTCTTGCTACACTCATTAATTTCTTCTGGAAAATAGGGATAACAATAACAAGGCTATAGTCAGGGTTAACGAATATGCTTCCTAGATGACTGTGTGGACGGCCAGGGACACAGACTTTACATTCTCTCTTCCACCCTCACTAACACTGTGCTTCTTGACCTACTAAAGTCGCACCTGCCCTCCAAGTTCACCATAAAGCGCGCTCGCCTTCATGGCTCAGTCATTAGCTACCCTCAATCTTACTAATGCTTAAAGCTTTGTAGTTTAGGTTACTTTGAATCTTGACGAAGTACATAGTAATTATGTGTTTTTGCTAGTTGCTTAATTATTGTTCAATGATTTTTTTGAACTGCATAGAATCTAAGCTTTCTGAGGGTAATGACAATACTGTAGGAGTTGAGAAACCCCCAGGGAGCCAAAGGCAACCCTAGAACACCCTGTAATCTTTAGCAGATGCTCAGCAATCGACTGGTGACTGGTAGCGTGTGGTAACCCACCACTCAGCTTTTTAAAACAATGCTCATTCATCTCCTTAGCGTTTCTTCCTACCCTGTTAATGTGGCTGAAAGCATTCGCCATTCTTTAGGATAGTGCTTCTTCTCAAATAGAGGCCTGTAGAAATGCTTTCTGGTCATCGAGAACAAACATTTAATCTTGGGTTTTCATTTTGACAATAACCTTAAAAGTTAAGGTATGTTTTTGTGGATCCTAGGAGGGACACCCGAGGGACAGATGCCACCATCCGATCTCAGGGCCTGCAGATGAGTGCATACTTGACAGGCAGCAAGTTAGAATGTGGCATCACATGCCCTGCTCAGGTGATGCCAAGGGTCAGTTCAGGACCCCACGCACGGGGCTCTCCACCATGCAGGGCAGGACCTCTGAGTTACCCCATGTCACCTGTGGAGAAAGGCAGAACCGTGCAGAAGTAGTTGGCATCATAATCTTGTAAGAAGCAACTTACTTTTGGCAAAATCATATTACTTTAGATTAATGTTTTTAATTTGAATTTTATCAGTTTTGTAGTCTTTTATAAGAATTAATTTGTTTTGATTTTATGGAGCTATAAGTATAAGGAGTACATACATGATTTTACGTTTGTGCATTTTACGGTCACGTAATAAAACTGCCCTACAGTGGGGGGGTGTAGCTGGGATGTTTTTCTTTTAGCAGCAGCCTGCATATCCTAGCGCTCCTATTGAGAAGCTCTGGTTCGGAGGTCTCCCGGCCTCCCTAGCAACCGCTTCCCTCAGTCTGGGGCGGTGGGGAAAGCAGTGACTTGTGGCTGCCAGTACAGCTGGGGAAGCCCCCGGCTTGCCAGCCGTGGTTCTTGCTGCTGCAGCGGCCACCTACCTTTAGCTCCTGAGTGCTGTTCTCCAGACCATGCAGGATTTTATAGGGAGCAGGCAGGGGGCCGGTGAGGTTGATGCTCTCAGCCACCTGCTGCAGGCGGGCCAGGTCACCGAGAAGAAGGCCCGTGCATTCGTCTCCACAAACTGTGAAAGCAAGGTGACAAAGAATATTCACTTCTGCTCATTAGCCCAGCCAGATGCTTGAAGGCTTCCACTAAGAAACGGTTTACGGTCTAAGCATAGTTCCCTGAAAGACGGTGCTAACCCATCTCAGATAATTAATGCTACTGCGTAGGCGGCAGGAGGAAGAAGACAAGAACAGTCAAAGAAGAGATACACCAGCCACCCGCAACCTGAAGCAGGAATATTTTGATAGAGGGGCCAAAGAGGAGGAATCAGTCGAGCCGGGGGAGAAAAACCACCATATAACAGCAGTAAAGGAGAGCGGAAGCACAGAATAGCATAGTAAAAATATGTCTTTGTTCGTCAGCTCAGTAGCTTTTCCTACAATTCAGTGTAGTTACAAATCCTTACCTTGATGGGAATCTTACCCATTACGACAGATAAGCATCTGCGAGGGCTCAGGAAAGCTTTATTTTGTTTGTATGCAACCAAGATGCTACTTAAAACAAATATTGCACATATGGTCTTTTCAGTAATCAGAAAGATGCACTACTTCAGGGATGCTAGTGGAGAGGAGATGGCTGTAGAACCGGGAGAAAAATACATTTTTCTCTTTATTATCAAATGAATCTCAGGAACAGTGCAATTTCTAAGATTAACATTGATTCCTTGGAATGAGTGAGAAAATAGATGTATTTCATGTGGCAACTTTCGGTTAGGCGTCCTGGAGCGATGAGGTGGCTCTTGATGCCAAAGGGGCAGGCACTGCCCTCGTTACCACGGGCTTAAACCCAAGCACAGTTTCTGTTTCTCACTGTGTTCAGCAGACAGAGCTATTCATGCCGCACAGGCATTAGAAGAGAGGAAAATACGTAATGTGGCAAACACTGAGGTCTAGAGCCGTGCTGGATCATGCCCCAACCTGGCAAGACTTCAATTAGTTCCTTCAATAGCGCTCCCCTGAGTGAATTAATGGAGAGAAAACCATTAACAGAAGCTTGTAAACAAAGAGAAGTAGTACAGAGGGTGATTTTTTTTTTTTTTTGATAGGACAGCAGTTAGAGGTGAGTTACAATGTCCTTTTCCCAGGGATTAAACTGCCCCAGCAGGGCTCTTAATAAATCAGCTCCTTGCAGGTGACACCCGCAGCTGTGGAGAAGTACCTGCGGGCTTTGTAAGCTCCCGACGCCTGACAACTGAGCGAACCTGAAGCTTTCAGGCGGGACCACAGGTCTGGAAGTAGAGCTGTGGCTCTTAGTCTTCTGATCAGAACTGAAGAAAATCTATACTTCGTAGAGGCTGAGCAAAAGGGAAGGAGCTTTGTGGCCCGTGCCTGTGCCACACAGGCTCCGGCGGACCTAGCTCGATGGACAGCCCCGGAGCACACACGGGATGCACTTAAGTGCCAATGTGGCAGCATCTAAACACCAAGATCCACAGCCTGGAATTTTTTTTTTTTCTTGCACTGGGCCTCAGGATCATCTGAACTTACAGAAATCACACGGGGCTGAGCCACACCCTAGGTTGCTGTCTTCCTGAGGTGAAAGTGATCTCTAGATTCTCCTCCTTGGTGAGGCTGCCAGGGTCGCTCTGCGCACCACGCTGTGCGTGCTCACCAGGGTGGCAGTCTGCACACTTCCCAGGACATCATTAGCTGTGTACAGTCCTGGACTGCACCCCAGATCTGCGCTGTGATTGTAAATCATAACTGAGAAAGGTTCCGTGTCATGAATGAACTTGTCTGGTGGAGATCAGTGACTCCCAGCTTGGGCTGTGTGTTGAATCACATGGGGATTTATAAAATTCATCCCTGGGCTGTGCCCTTCCCTTCTCCTGGGACAGTAGTTGATGGGGCTGGGGCAAGGAGCGGCCATCAGGATATATTTTGAGAAGATTCCAGATTGTTAGCTATACCTTGCAGCAAGGGTTTCGGGTCACAGGCCCAAATAATAAATGGTATGGATGCTCAGGGACAGTGATAGGACAGGCTTGGAGGAGGTCATTTTGCTCACTGCCTGCTCTACGCAGGACTTTTAATCTTCATCCTCCCAGGTGCTCAGGTCAAGAGTTCCAGGGTGGTTTCCCCAGAGAAGGCCTTGATGACAACACTGCTTGAATCACTTAGGGGTCACTCCTGCGCCCCTTTGTTTTACTATAGAAAGGTGCATGCTTGTGCTGGCTGCCTGATTTTCTTGCTTACACATCTCCAGGTTGTTTTTTCTTTCCTAGAAAAGATGCCTTGGCCACAGCACCTAGGAAAGTGTCTTGAACACAGCCAATGTCCAGTAAATATTTGTACATTAATATTTTTGTGAAAGAAGAATAAGAAAGTATTTTGCACCAAGAGTGGCAAAGGTCAATGTTTGAGGATGGCATGAGCCCAAGTTCATGAGAGAGCAAGAAGGTTGGAAGGAGGCGGCCAGATAGGGACAGTCTGGATGTAAGAGTGACACATTCGATCGTAAGTGGAGCACCCTGAAGATGCACTAGGAGTGGAATGAGAAGTCGAAAACAGTTAATTAGAGAAAGAAATCAGGCTTGTAACTGGAGAGCCAGGAACTGAACTGAAGAGTGATGCCTGTGCTGGTGGCTGCCAGAGGGCTTCGTGCTTCAGGGTTGACTCGGACTGAAGCAGTAGAACAGGAGGAGGGGAGAAGAAAACAAGCGCAGGAATTCCTAGGGAAGACCCAGCACCTTTATGCTGCTGAGCACTTCAGAGCAGTAATCATTGCTGGGTTGGATTAAAAAGCCTTACAACTTCCTTGTTGCTACTTCTTGTAAGAGGTAACTTTACTTCCTTCTCAAATGTCACATACTCTGATCAATAGAAAGTGACACAGGGACACTGTGGTTGACCACTGAGCATCAGTCTCAAGGGTCTTAGAGTTTTTGTTTTCATACCTTTCGAACTTTGCTTCTTGAGCACAATTCCACGTTAGCCTCTTTGAGAGAGAAAATGTGGCAGAAAGAAGGGTAGCCAAACTGGCCAAAAGCTGAGTCTCCACCATGTGAGTGCAGCCATCCGGGAACTCTGGGCAAGCAAAGGCCCATGTGACTGACCCGTGTGACCCCGTCCAACTCTCCAGTCGCCAGAACTAGGCACCTATCCTGTCCGTAGTTGTAGTTGTCATTTAAATTCTGGAATATCAGCAGATAACCACTTCACTTTCCAAAGCCCACAGGAACGATGTTGAAAGCGATTCCTAGTCTGAAACTTCCAGCTTACAATTCAGAAGTTAAAGACAAGTATTTGTAACAATTCTTAATGTTGTCAAGACTTATGGAAAATACAAATGCCTGTTTCTCACTGAACCTACACAAGTTCCATTTGATTTTAGTGAATTGGTATTTTTGGAAGACGTTTTCAGAATGTAAGCAAGTAAGGTAAGCAAGTAAGGTGCTCTTTCAGCTTTCAGTTTCCTGATCCAGAAAGACAACTGATGGTAGGCTATCTCCTCACACTTTCTAAGGCAGGGTGTTGGTCAGGTTGCTTTTGGCAGCCTTCTCTAATTGCTATGCAATATATATCTTATTTCCAAGAGGATTTTGAGTTAGCTTGTTGGTAATAATATGGCTAGGGCCTCCTTACTGGATGATTCCAGAAATACCCACAGCTTTCTCAGTCTTTACTTCATGCAAGAATAAGCTAGTGACAGGAATACAGAACGAGATCTGATTTATTGTGATACACTGCAGAGCAAATTGCTGAGCCTGAACGCCAAGAGCCATGATGAGCACTGATTTTTCTCTCATCTATTCTACCCCCTGCCCATCTGTTTTGGTTCCTCATCTTCAGTTGTTGAAATGAAAGTGGATTTAATTGCTCTTTCACGGACTCCTGCATTTCATTTTATGTCTCTGTGTCCAAAGGTCCGGTATCATCTCATGTCTTACAGTCTCTGTATTTGCTTTTTGGGGAAAGAAAGTTGAAGCAAACCTCCATCAGTGAAAGGTGAGTTTTGTAATATGCTCCAAGTAATGTACTAACATCTGTCTGATTGGGTCAGAAAAATTCATGAGCACAACAGCCCTGCGATTCTTCTCAAAGCTTTACACAAGTCTGGCTCATGCAAGGATAAGGTAAACATCGGGGAGAATTGTGTTCGTTACATAATAGAGTGCTCTTTCATTCTGACCCAAAATATTTTACTTACAACACAAGCCACTTTTATTTGCCCTCAAATCTCAAGTGCCTGACCACAGACGCTGGAAATGGTATGCAGATGAAAAACAAATTTAACTCACAATGACGGGAGGACTTGAAGACAGGAGAAAGACGGAATCTTTGCATTTTGTAAACAACTGCTCTTTGATAACGGTGGCTGGAAATTAACACCTTTCTCCTAGTCATGATCCCAAATACCTTCTCAGACCATTGTCCTAAAGCTACAGCACAGACAAGACTATAAAGCGAGATCCTGCCTACAATACATGAGAGCAAAGCAAACATTTCAAGACAATGATTGTATTTTCATGACTAAATGTTTCCGAGGCTTCGGCTATAAAAGTGTCAGGGTAAATTTGTGTCTAATATTAGCAAATGCAGTACTAAATTCAGATCGTTATAACCGAGCACATGCAAGGGGCAAAGCACGCAGCCAATGTTACAGATCTTTCTGTAAGCAATTAGTACAAGATCCTGCATCTCTACTAGGGGCTCCCGTGCATAATGACGACTGGCTTGCTGTCACAAAAATTCTCACGCTGCCTTCAAACCAAAAAAGCAGAAGCTTAAATGAGTACACTGAGCATGTGGGAAAGGCTAAATCACATTACCAATTTTAGGTATAGATATATAAATTAACTACTCTAATTAACTAGACCCAACGAGATGAAATGAGGGCTGGCCTGATAGGTCAGTGGCCTTCTCTGTAATTCAGCTATGCGCCTATGTACTTTGCTAGCCAACAGCTATTCCAATGTGGGATACACACCGCTGAAGCAGACCCTCAATAACTAGATCACGATCCAGAGTCAGGGATGGCTGCTTTTTTGGGTAATAGTAGCCTGGCCCAGGGCCT